AAACTAACTAGGTTTTAGTTACTGCATTTAGTTTCATCTGCATATGACACTTTTCATGAATTGGGTACAAAATAGGCTAGGCAGCTCTTAAAATTGTATTTATTTAATTTTTAAACTTCATTTCATACACTGTAAAAAATTACTTTTTAAAGTTGTAAATAAAACAAAGATTACTTTGTTTGTAATAATTTATGAAATAATTAATTAATTAAACAAGGAGTTTAAAAAAAACACTACACCATTTTTTTTTTCATTTTAATGGGCATTGAAAGATGGTACATTAAAAAAATGTCAACCTCAAGAGAACAAAATAAATATTTTATTAGGTGTTTATTATCTGTGTATATTAGTTTATATTATATTTTAAATGAGGTTGCAATATTTGTAATCTTGTAACCAAAACATGAGACAGGTCTAAATACAGTTTAAAACCACAATTTGTGTGATTCTGTTATTGTCTAGAAATAAACATCAAAATAAAATAGATTAGAATTTACAGAAATGAAAATAACTGAATAAATGAAAACATAAATAAATGAAAACAAATAAACAAACAAACAAATAAATAAATAAACCAGGGATGCTGATTTGCATTTACTGATATTTCCCATAAAAAAAATTTTTTTTTTCTTATAATACCTTGGGTGACCAGGTTGAATGCTCGAGGTCAACAAATGAAGTCCAAAACGACCATAGTAAGGTAAAAAATGACTATGTTTGGAGCCATGGTGAGCTGACTTTACTTTTTTCTTCTACTGTACTTCTCTGTGTTATTTTATATATTTATTGCCATTAGAGTAAAATTACTGAACCTAAACAAAGCAGCCTGATAAAAATGCTCAGTTCAGATGAAAATTGCAAATGGCACTTAGAGGCTTTTGCATCTGAACTCTTCATACACATATATATATATACAGTATATATATATATATTTTTTTTTTTTACAAAAGAATGCTTAAAAATGTTTCACAGTTTCCACAAAAAAGCACAATATTTCACAACATATGGCAGGTGTTTTCAACAATTAAATTAGTATTCTTAGTATTACGTTTCAACTTTTCCATCACAGAAATAAATTATATTTTAAAACTTTTTTAATAAAACTATCAAATCAATATAAATATTTTTTTTTCTTATAATATCTTGGGAGACAAGACTGAATGCTTGAGGTTAATAAATGCAGTCCAAAACAACTATTGTAAGGTCAAAATATACCCACATTTGATGATAGCTCCATTTTATGTTATATAATATTACACAGGCCTACTCTTTAAATTAGTTTAAATTCATTGGCGTATAGGGAGGTCAGTAGGATAAAAAAAAGCGATGTCCAGAAAACAGCTGGAGAGAGAGAGCTTAAAGAAACAGAGACTGACAAGGAAAGGTTCATGTTTATAAACTGAATTGCTGTAATTGGAATAAAGTCAAGCGAGAGAGAGAGGGGCATGAGTGAGACATATTTGCTGTTTACATGATTTGATTGACGTTTAGGATAACACAGTCTCCATCAGCAGGCAGCACCTTCAGTTTCCTGTTAGACAACACAGCATCCCGACCGCACGTCAAGCAACCTCCGTTAACTCCCATCGACCGCGCAGACAGCTGCTGATGGATGGCTCCAAATTAAAGACTCCCACTGATCAACTTAACTGAGCTGCCAATCAATCGATCAGTCTAATCCAACCACAGCGGTCCACAGTCACGTTTGGCCTCCAGATCAGTCAGGCCCCATCCAGCAGATATAGATTAGAACAAGACATGATCTGTGGCCATCCTGCGCCCGAGGGGTCACTCAGGAAAGAACAACAGGAACGTGAACAGCACTACATAATCGGCAAGATATGCTTATCATCAGAGTGACAGTTGGCTTCCTGCTATGGAATAAGAATTCTTGAGAAAAAGCAGTTTCTTTTGATAAGATTTTTCTTGGTAGATGAGTTTAAAGATAATGTGATTCAACCAAGCACCGCCCACTTAAGATGCAGGTTAATCTGATAGCTGGTGCCACAATAACTTACTGACTATTTACTGTACATAAAGCAAAACGGATTCTGCAAACAGATGTCAGGAATAAATCAAGATTGTACAAAGTCATGTGTGCTGACTGTCAAGAGATGGGTGAGATTATCTGATAAACATGTCTAGATCTGCTCTTACAACTGTCCTTGGCCAAAGCTTCACTCCCTGTTATGCTATTTACTGGAATATGAGCAACTCCATTAATAATGTTCCTGAGCTGTAGGACTTACAAATGTATAAATGTCTGCTAAAAGTGTGCAAATTAATTGCTAAGATTACATGTCCCGTCTGAAAAAAATAATTGGTTGTATATCTTTAGCTTTCAGCTGTGCTATAGAGACAGAAAAATAAACTATGTTGCATGCATGTCTGATTTATTTTAGCATGCAAGGCCACTAATCAGCGTGCAACGGTTCAGCAAACTGTTTCATCAAACAAACCTGAAAAAAATGTATTACTGTTTCCACAAACAAAAATAAATAAATACATCACAATATTTCACAAAAAGGCAGCACAAGTGTTTGACAATGAAAATAATTAGTATTCTTAGTATTACATTTTTTTGTGCTGAAAAACCATAGAAATAAATTACATTTTAAAACCGTTATTTAATAAAACTATAAAATCAATATATTCTACAAAAATATTAATTAAAAAAATACATATTTTATAAGAACAGCCTGTGTGCTCAAATTGTTATTTCTGTGAGTCTGTCAATAATTTGTTTGTTTTTTTGGAGCCATGGTGTGCTGACATTTTTTCTTCTTCCACTTCTCTCCTTATTTATTATATATTATTATATTATAATTTTTTTCAGGATTATTTGATGAATAGGATTAATTTCACAAAAAGGCAGCACAAGTGTTTTCGACAATCAAAATAATTACTATTCTTAGAAATAAATTAATATACTTAGTATTAAATGTTCCTTGTGTTGAAAATTCAGCTTTGCAGTTCTTGTAATAAAACTATAAAATCAATATACTCTACCATAAACGTAAACATTGTAAAAAAGTACGCTTCAGTGCTTAATGACAAAATTGAATTAGCTGCATTTAAATGTATTTTCTTCTTGATTCATTAGAGATGCCAAACCTGATGTACTTGTGAATCTTCTAATTATAGGCAGGATGTGCAAGAAACTCCAATGAGTCACTGAAATCTTTTTTGTCCTGAATGTGATAAAGAGAGCAAAGAACACAAGCAAGCCTGTGTTTGTGCTGGTGGACGGCAGAGGGAAAACATTGGGTAAAGACTACTTTAAATGGGGTGACATGAGGACAGCAACCAGTTTGGGCAATGTGACTGAAGGTAGAGACAATCTGCCAAAAACACATACACACAAATGGACAGAGAAGCAAAGAGCCAAGCTGTTCTCACACCACAGTCAGCTATTACAGATCCAATGACCTAAGAGCAGTTATTTCCATCATATGAGGCACACCAGTGCTTCCATATCCATTAAAACAAGAGCACTTAATTCAGACCAATTAAACATGACAGACGAGAGCCAGCAGAGGAAAAAAAAGGAAAGACACAGTAAGAGAGAGAGAGTGAAAGGTCAATACTTTCATTTAGTCATCAGGGTGAGCTGTCAGTGATGTGTTTAATGCTGACCAATAAAAGCAGCTCCACGCAGTCTACCATATACATCACCTGCACTTCAGGGGCAAGAGTTAAACATTTATAACACTGACTGACCCTGCTTAAAGGGGTCATATGATGCGATTTCAATTTTTTCCTTTCTCTTTGGAGTGTTACAAGCTCTTGGTGCATAAAGAAGATCTGTAAAGTTGCAAAGACTAAAGTCTCAAATCCAAAGAGATATTCTTTATAAAAGTTAAGAGTCAACCACGCCTACCTAAAACAGCTCGTTCTAACACACCCCCACATGTCTACATCACGATGTGGGAAGATTTGTATAACGCCACCCAAATGTTCACGCAAAAAGAAAGGCGGCATAACTTTTATTCTCGCTGTATTATTGTTGCCGCCGCCATGTCGTGAAGGCGCTATGAGTTTCGTTGTGAAAGTGAAACTACTTTGTTTGGCCTTCCAAAAGAGGACGATATCGCTTCGTCATGCCTGGAGCTGATCCTTGCTGGTCGCTGAGGAAATACATCAACTTCGCGCTGTGAAACGCCGGATCGACTTTCACCGTGGACGAAGCGGAGTCCAGCCCGGGGTCATCACATGTGCTTGCCACAAGTCCGCCGGACGCTCCTTCATCGAATCCGCCACACACAACATGCAATATTTCTCCACTATCTTGGAAAATTAGCCTGCATAATGATATATAATGATTTCTATTCATACATTAATGGAAAATGCTCTTGAAATGTAGCTTTTAGGGCACCCAGCGTACAGTTTATCAAGAAAGAAAATCAAAAGGACAGAGTGTATCGACAAACTAATTAATTTTCAGCTTCAAGCAGCCCTGCCAACATTCTGGACCCGGTTTTATCAGAGCTGGATCAATGCAGGTCGATCCAAGCTGGATCTTTCTGCAAGATCTAATTTACTAAAAATATTAAATATTGGAAGGGTTTGAACGGAGAAGAGAAAAACAATGAGTATGTTTGGAACACTAGCTTAGTACATATTACATTGTATCTACACTATATACTATTTTTTGATAATAGATATAGTATTAATTACATATCACTGTGCACATGTTTCCATGTAGCACATTTTGGTTGTACACTGCTCATTTTTGCAAATGTAGTAGATCATCTGGGTATTTTATGCATACAGATGAAATAGCAAAAGTAGTATTCAAGTATGCTATTCTGAGACACATGGAATACACCTCAACAGGAAATATGCATGATTATAAAGCAAATTCCATTGTTTTGCATGGTTATAACCCAAACTGCATCAAATCACACATGTATATTCAGTGTAAATATCTCAAAACCCCTTAAAGGTGCTATATGTTTTGTATTATGAGATGATAATGTGTAATAATTCTCATTACTTACCTCTAGAGCTTTGGAACGACTGGCAAGAAGTTTCTCGATTTCACGTGCAGCTTTTGCCACCAGCTGTGTAGCGTTGTTTTGTTTCACATTATAGTGGTTCCGAAACTGCAGGAAAATCTGAGAGAAAAAGATAAAGACAGGGGTTTAAGGTTTCAGGTTTACTTGCTGGAAATTGTCTCAAAAGACATTATCTATGAGCGGGGGGGGGGGCACACTTATAGCCATGAAAGACAGCATAGCATTTATAAAAAATGTACCTGCAAAATTAGTCTAATGTAAAAAACGGTTGTGGCTACAGTGGCCGAGAGAGCTCAACGCGCTGCAACTTCAGAAAGCACATGCAAATAGAAAAAGCACCAACAAATTAAGAAAATATCTTTATCAGTTTGACAGCACATGTGCTGCAAATACTCGCAACACAATGAAATACAAAAACACGCTGCAAATGCTCACAACACAACCAAATAAAGAAATGCGCTGCAAACACAGAAATGTGCTGCAAATACTCACAACACAAACAAAGAAACGCACCCCAAATGCTCACAACACAACCAAATAAAGAAACGCGCTGCAAAAACAGAAACACGCCGCAAATTAGAGACCTGCACGGGACGGATTTTTCAGTCCAGCGCCCACCCGCTCCCACAGAAAAATATCTTATCTGGGCCCGCTCCCGCCTGCAAAAAAGTAATCTATATAGATATTTTTTCAGCACATCAAAGAAATTTACATTAAATGGTTCTGTAACATCTCCTAAGCTCAACAAAATCCCAGCATAAATGCTCCCGATAAAATATTTGTTATTTAGGCTAAGCATTTGCAGCGCATTTCTTTATTTGGTTGTGTTATGAGCATTTGCAGCGCATTTCTGTTTTTGCAGCGCGTTTCTTTATTTTTTTGTGTTGTGAGTATTTGCAGCGCGTTTCTTTATTTGGTTGTGTTGTGAGCATTTGCAGCGCATTTCTTTATTTTTTTTGTGTTTCTTTATTTGGTTGTGTTGTGAGCATTTGCAGCGCGTGTGCTGTCAAATTGATGAAGATGTTTTCTTAATTTGTAAGTGTTTTTTCTATTTGCATGTGTTTTTTTTTTTTTCATTTGCAGCGCGTTGAGCTCTCTCGGCCACCGTAAATTTATCCAAAACACGACTATGTAAAAACAGTTCGCGTGTGCTGTCAAATTGATGAAGATGTTTTCTTAATTTGTAAGGGTTTTTTCTTTTTGCATGTGTTTTTTTTTTTCATTTGCAGCGCGTTGAGCTCTCTCGGCCACCGTAAATTTATCCAAAACACGACTATGTAAAAACAGTAAAGCTGTCAAGAATGTATAGTTTTCAGACATTGCTAAACCAAACAGTCAATTATTTAGTGATTAGAAGGTCAGCTGTAAAACATCAATAATGAGGATGTTCTGAGAAGACTGGAATAGAATAACAAATACAAAACATAATATAATAAATATAATGTTAACATCAAGGTCAAAATAAGAATTATCACTTTCTGTCTTTCTTCTAACTGTTTCCATCAATATTGTTGTAAAAAGTCCATAAATTAAAAAAGTTGGAGGGATATACTTGTTAATTTATTTAGTTGTGTGAATGAGGCATTAAAATACACTGTAAAAGATTGTGATTGTATCACTATGTGTACCTAGTCCTGTAAAAAAATTAATAATAGAACAATCTTTGGTTCAGAGAAAACACTGGACCTCATGACCCCTATAAGATGACCACATGTACCATTAAAGATCGCCACCAAGCTTAACAGCTGGCAGCAGGCATTGTGGGTTGATGAAATTCTTTGACTTTCTCACACAGTAAATAGTCTTTGGCAATGGACACAAACGCTTTCAGAATGGCAAACTGCATGACGTACAGCACAAGGTTTCGCTGAGACTGGGTGACAGAGATGCTGATGCAGTTTTGCTCCTTTTGAAGTTGTACCAGTTCACCCAAAATGAAAATTCTGTCATAATTTATTCACCTTCATGTCACGACTTTCCTTCATCCATGAAAGGAGAACTCTAGAACTACTGCACTAGCAAGTCCCATTGCTTTTCTGCACAGGGAAATAGATTTTTAAGGACAACTTCTAAAACTGAGACAGGATCTACTATAAGCTCGGATTTTGTTAATCAATGGTATATGCTTTTGTTGAAGCCATCAGCCATCATTATTTTAACTTGCGTCCGGATTTCAACATACTTCCGGAACTAAAGCCGCTGTAGCACTCTATAGCTGGGATATATACTAATTATCAAGCTAATGTGACTCATATTCGTATTTTATTTTGTGGAAGTATATAAAATATTCATAGCTGCATAAAATTTGTTTAGCGTGTTGAAAAACAAATGGGTGGTCTTACTTTTTGGAGCTCTTGTATGCCGGTCTCAGCATCGATCAACTGCACCAGCTCCTCCTGCATCTGCATCGCCCATTTCCGGGTCCTGTAAACACAAAGAACCAATCAGATTTAGTTTAATTAATTACTGATCTCACTCATCTTAAAGAACACTTGAAGTACTTCTTCGAAACCAGAGCAAAAACTTCTAGCCTAACTAATAAAGTTCAAACAAGTAAACAGTTAGTAATGAAATAAAGAACAAATGCACAAATTACAAACATAGATACATACAACAGAACAAAGTTACAAATAAAATAGTAGCATTCAGGTATAGAAATGTAACAATTAACTGTATAATAACACTATATAATTATTTTTTTTTTAACTGTGTTTTGTTTTTTTGTTAACATAAATGACACAGACAGCAGCAGGTATTTATAGGCTGCTGTCACTTTAAGACTGAATGCATGGATCCAATAGAACTACTGCACTAGCAAGTCCCATTGCTTTTCTGCACAGGGAAATAGATTTTTAAGGACAACTTCTAAAACTGAGACAGGATCTACTATAAGCTCGGATTTTGTTAATCAATGGTATATGCTTTTGTTGAAGCCATCAGCCATCATTATTTTAACTTGCGTCCGGATTTCAACATACTTCCAGAACTAAAGCCGCTGTAGCACTCTATAGCTGGGATATATACTAATTATCAAGCTAATGTGACTCATATTTGTATTTTATTTTGTGGAAGTATATAAAATATTCATAGCTGCATAAAATTTGTTTAGCGTGTTGAAAAACAAATGGGTGGTCTTACTTTTTGGAGCTCTTGTATGCCGGTCTCAGCATCGATCAACTGCACCAGCTCCTCCTGCATCTGCATCGCCCATTTCCGGGTCCTGTAAACACAAAGAACCAATCAGATTTAGTTTAATTAATTACTGATCTCACTCATCTTAAAGAACACTTGAAGTACTTCTTCGAAACCAGAGCAAAAACTTCTAGCCTAACTAATAAAGTTCAAACAAGTAAACAGTTAGTAATGAAATAAAGAACAAATGCACAAATTACAAACATAGATACATACAACAGAACAAAGTTACAAATAAAATAGTAGCATTCAGGTATAGAAATGTAACAATTAACTGTATAATAACACTATATAATTATTTTTTTTTTAACTGTGTTTTGTTTTTTTGTTAACATAAATGACACAGACAGCAGCAGGTATTTATAGGCTGCTGTCACTTTAAGACTGAATGCATGGATCCAATACAATAATTCACATCCAATTTCTTTGTTTACATGTACTTCACTTAAGACATACACACATAATTTTGTGTGTATTTATCAGTTCAAGCGCAAGAAAAATACAGTGGCGGAGCCAGAGAGGGGTCTAGGGTGGCACTAGACAATCCTGACATGTTATCACAATGTCAATCATTGCAATTTTGAGAGTGAATCGCATATTTATATGTGGGTGGCTTTGCACCATGTGGCTGCTGGTCCTCTTAGCAAAATTAATAATAGAACAATCTTTGGTTCAGAGAAAACACTGGACCTCATGACCCCTATAAGATGACCACATGTACCATTAAAGATCGCCACCAAGCTTAACAGCTGGCAGCAGGCATTGTGGGTTGATGAAATTCTTTGACTTTCTCACACAGTAAATAGTCTTTGGCAATGGACACAAACGCTTTCAGAATGGCAAACTGCATGACGTACAGCACAAGGTTTCGCTGAGACTGGGTGACAGAGATGCTGATGCAGTTTTGCTCCTTTTGAAGTTGTACCAGTTCACCCAAAATGAAAATTCTGTCATAATTTATTCACCTTCATGTCACGACTTTCCTTCATCCATGAAAGGAGAACTCTAGAACTACTGCACTAGCAAGTCCCATTGCTTTTCTGCACAGGGAAATAGATTTTTAAGGACAACTTCTAAAACTGAGACAGGATCTACTATAAGCTCGGATTTTGTTAATCAATGGTATATGCTTTTGTTGAAGCCATCAGCCATCATTATTTTAACTTGCGTCCGGATTTCAACATACTTCCGGAACTAAAGCCGCTGTAGCACTCTATAGCTGGGATATATACTAATTATCAAGCTAATGTGACTCATATTTGTATTTTATTTTGTGGAAGTATATAAAATATTCATAGCTGCATAAAATTTGTTTAGCGTGTTGAAAAACAAATGGGTGGTCTTACTTTTTGGAGCTCTTGTATGCCGGTCTCAGCATCGATCAACTGCACCAGCTCCTCCTGCATCTGCATCGCCCATTTCCGGGTCCTGTAAACACAAAGAACCAATCAGATTTAGTTTAATTAATTACTGATCTCACTCATCTTAAAGAACACTTGAAGTACTTCTTCGAAACCAGAGCAAAAACTTCTAGCCTAACTAATAAAGTTCAAACAAGTAAACAGTTAGTAATGAAATAAAGAACAAATGCACAAATTACAAACATAGATACATACAACAGAACAAAGTTACAAATAAAATAGTAGCATTCAGGTACAGAAATGTAACAATTAACTGTATAATAACACTATATAATTATTATTTTTTTTAACTGTGTTTTGTTTTTTTGTTAACATAAATGACACAGACAGCAGCAGGTATTTATAGGCTGCTGTCACTTTAAGACTGAATGCATGGATCCAATACAATAATTCACATCCAATTTCTTTGTTTACATGTACTTCACTTAAGACATACACACATAATTTTGTGTGTATTTATCAGTTCAAGCGCAAGAAAAATACAGTGGCGGAGCCAGAGAGGGGTCTAGGGTGGCACTAGACAATCCTGACATGTTATCACAATGTCAATCATTGCAATTTTGAGAGTGAATCGCATATTTATATGTGGGTGGCTTTGCACCATGTGGCTGCTGGTCCTCTTAGCATCATGAAAAACAAAACTTTTATTCAAATTCTGAATGGATTATATATAGCCTAGAAAGCACGCAAAGAGTGCTCCTTTTATAATCACTAAAAATCTGTCATCTTAATTCATAGCTTTTACTATACCTTCTTATCACACTGCAAAAATGTATGTTCTTCATTAGCATTTTTGTCTTGTTTTCCAGCGCAAATGTCTAAATCTTAAATCAAGATACATTTACTTGATAAGCAAAATGACCTAAGTCTTGTTTTCTGTGAAACTGATCCAAATGAAGGAGTTTAATGAAGGTTTATGATTTAAAAAAAATTGCAAATATCTGCCAATGGGCTCAGAAAAATCTACTGAATTCAAAGAAAACAAGCTTTCATTCCCAGCATAAACTCACTTCAATTGTGTTACATGTCTCAGAAAACAAGACTTTGTCTTAATTTTTCATCTCAAACAACCGTATCTTGATTCAATGTTATTTGTATTGGAAAACAAGACATAAATACTGAGGAAAACATTCATTTTTTGCAGTGCATGCAACATTTAATGCCATGACTTTATGAATTTAAGACCCTCTTTTCCTTCTTTTCTGATTTAATGCCTTTATACCCTGTTGTGAGCATGTAATGTATACCACTGCTGCACATATAACATAGCAGATCTATACAGGTGGAGCTGGGGAAGGTGGAGGGTTTCTGAAAGCATGCTTCAAACTGCTACAGCGAACACTGGTCAAGTATTTGAATGATAAGCAGCAAGCTCATTGGCTGTTCATGTGATGAAACAATCAACTGTGCTGTGTAGATAACAATGTGATTACTACCAGACCTATCAGCCTGTCATTTAGAGTTAAAGTTTCTCACATAGTTCCATTATAATCAAGCACTCTACACTACACAATTAATCTCTTATATCGTGTCAACACTTTATTGAAATGAAAACGAAGCTTTGAACAAAAACTTTGGCATTTTGAATGGTCAGTGGATTCTGACTTAAACACTTCTGACTGGCCATTGCGTTCAAGAAATCAACATGTCTGTAATTGGCTACATTGCTCAATGCTGCAAAAACACACTGTATATAGAAACCTCTGACTTTCTCCAGAATGCAAATATGTGTTGGCCAGATCTGTTTCGCTGATAGCTCTTATTACAGGTTCAGCTGAGGGTGAAATAAATATGTCAATTAAATGATTAGCCTAATTATATATGCATTTTAAAGTTTGAATAACAAATAATAAATGATAAATAAAAACAGAAATCTAATAATTTTTAGCTATATAATTATCCATAATATCTTCAGAAAAAAAAACAGTAGAAGTATTTTGATAGTATGTGCTATCTGATTGAAACTCTATATTGTTCATAGCTAACAACTTGACAATGAAATCTGCATCTGTAACAGCAGCTAAATTTTCTTCTGCCCAGAGGAAAAAAAAAATAATAATAATTTATGCACACACAAAAAAACAGCTCAAACCCTAACAAGCCTTATGCCAAATCAATTCCTCTCTCTGATCCCTTCTGGTGAGATGAATCATCAAAACTAATTATTGTTATGGATCACGAGTGCCAGAATGTAGCTCATTCAACAGCGTATGGAGACGGGAAAGGCTGCCAGCCCCTTTTGGTTTAGCTGATGAAATTCGATTGAAACTCTCTTCATGAGATTACAACAGCAGTATGATCACAACCACCACAGTAGCCATAAAACAGAGCACATACATGCTAAGTATAGCACTACGGCTTGGGGGAAAATGGATGTGGTGAAAAAAAGAGGGACGGAAACTTAGAGCAGTGAATGGAAAATTGAGATAGGATCCCGTTCATTCCCTCCCCCCACCAAGTCCTCTGGAAAGGGAAGCTGGGGGCAGGGGCGACCCAGCGAGCTGTAAAACATTACGTACTGTAAATAGTTTATGAAACGTTTGGACTCATTTAAGACTTCAGACTTAATTTCCTTGTAAAATTGCATACAATCAGCACAAAACATGGCAACAATCAGTTTCTGTGAACTCTGCGCATGAAATCTATTTACTTTAGTAGAGGAAAGAGAAAGTGAAAATAACTGTGCAAACCTTTCTCAACTGGCCCACACTAATATGATGATTTAGAAACATTTCTAATTATTATCAATCTAAAAACCATTATGCTGCTTAATATTTTTGCATTAACAGTGATACTTTTTTTCCTTTGATGAATAGAAAATTCTAAAGAATTCACATTTCAAACTTTTGAATGGTATACAAATATAAAATCATTTTATATACGATGGATGAGAGAAAAAGTGGCTGGAACTGCTAACATATAAGGATTAAGACTGTACCATACAAAACACAAGCTCTCTCTCTCTCTCTCTCTCTCTCTTGCCCTCTTTCTCTATTTTAACTATACTCCCTGAGGAAGTGAGTGCTGTTTCTATGTTCAGAGCCACATTAGATCTACATGTCTCCAATATCTTGGAAATATATGACTTTATATGACTATAACTTTAATATTTAGAGCACTAAATGGTAACAACTCATTGTAAAAATATTTTTTACAGTTCTGACCTTTACAGAATGTTGCAACTGTAAACTGTGAACCAATTTAGAGTCTGTAAAAATAGTTTAGCAAAGACAGGAAAGAATGAACATGCTCCATTTTACGCCACAATGTCATTGCATGACCACACTGCATCCATTTAATGAGGATGAGTAAAATAGAGACACACACCTGTACATTACACCAAAAGGGACTTTAATGACATTCCAAATACATAGACATTAATACAGAGTTGGTCATGCTGGAATTGCCAATTCCACAAATTAGAAGCATAGCATTGTCCAAAATGTCTTGGTAGGTTGATGCATTAGGATGTCCCTTCATTGGATGTAAGGGGCCCTGTCCAACCTTGAGAAACAACCCTATATTATTATTCTTCCCTCAATAAACTTTACAGTTGGCACAATGCAGTCAGATGGGTAACATTCTCCTGGCATCTGCCAAACCCAGACTCGCCCGTCAAACTGCCAAACAGAGAACCATAACAGAACACTTTTCCACTACTCCAGAGTCCAGTGGCAGCATGCTTTACATCTCTCCATCCGGTGCTTGGCATTGTGGCGATGTGAGGCTTGCATGAAGCTGATCGGTCATGGAAATCCATTTCACAAAGCAGGAAGTGTTGTGCTGATATTAATGCCAGTGGAAGTTTGGAAATCTTCAACTATTGTTCAACTATCTTCAACTACACCTTGAACTATAATTCAACTACACTTCTGCGCACCATACGCCTCTATGATCCCGCTTTGTGACTTTATATGGTCTGCTGTTCCTAAACGCTTCCACTTTCCAGTTATAATACTTACAGTTGACCATGGAATTTCTAGGAAGGATGAAATTTCACAAACTTATCGCAAAGGTGGCATCTTATCACAGTAACCAAACAGATGTTGGGAAAAATATTTTGGAAGTCAGCTGTTTGGTTACCCACACTCTTGAAAATATATTCTTTTGTGTTCAGCAGGAGAAAAAAATAAGAAATTGTTATGAATTGGAGTGAGTGAGTAGCCTAAATTAAAATTTTGGGGGGGGAGATAAATTCAGATTTTTATACAGATTTGTTCTTCAGAGTCATTATTAATTTGTTATGTATATTTATATACGTACGTATGTATATGCATTTATATACATATACTTGGTTTCCATATTGTTTACCATGTATTATTTTACAAAAAGGTAAAGAAATCTTCAAATCATAGATGTAGTTAAATGTGCCATTAAATAATAAATTAATAAATCACTTTTCAAATTAAGAAATAAATTGACATTTAAAACAGTTAATTTAATTTATGAACTAAACAATGACACTTATTAACTCGATTAGCGACTGAAAATCATGAAATAATATCATAAAATAAAAATGGTTTCTTAAAGTGATAGTTCACCAAAGAATTTTAAATTCTGTCATTAATTACTCACCCTCATGTCGTTCCAAATGTGTATGATCTTTGTTCATCATCGGAACACAAATTAAGATATTTGATCCTGCACAGACAGCAACGCAACTAAGACATTCAAGGCTCAGAAACATAGTAAGGACAATGTTAAAAAAGTACATTCTTTGTGCACAAAAATATTCTTGTAGCTTAATCAAATTACGGTTGAACCACTGATGTCACATGGACTATTTTAACAATGTCCTTACTACATTTCTGGGCCTGGACTGTGGTAGTTGCATAGCTGTCTATGCAGGGTCGAAAATATCTTAACTTGTGTTCTGAAGATGAATGAAGTTATTACGGGTTTGGAACGACATGAACGCGAGTAATTATTGGGTGAACTATCCCTTTAATATTATTAGTAATATTAATTTGTATTACAAATGGTTACATTTTTTACAATTTTTGTAGC